TGCACTTGAGGAACTAGAGGACCACATGTGGCCTCGAGGCTGCAGGTTCCCCACCCCTGGTTCTATACATTGTTTCTGTCATACTGATTTCTAGTTTTCCCAGCAGGTTTTGTCAGATAATGAGTTGCTGTTACAAAAGCTTGGGTCTTTGGGTTAATCTTATACTAGATTGCTATGGTCATTTACTATAATGTAATTTATACCTAATCTATTCCACTGATCCACCATTCTGTTTCTTAGCCAGTACCAGATTGTTTTGATAATTACTGCTTTATAATACAATGTGATATCTGGTATGGCTAGACTAGCCCCTTTCTCATGTTTTCATTCATTTCCTTGATATCCTTGAACTTTTCTTCTTCAGATGATTTTTATTTTTTTTTTTTGTAGCTATATAAAAATAATTTTTGATAGTTTGGTATGGCACTGAATAAATAGATTAATTTAGGTAGAATTGCCATTTTTTATTACATTGGCTTGGCCTACCCATGAATAATTGATTTTTTTTCCAGTTGTTTAGATCTGGCTTTATTTGTGTGAAAAGTGTTTTATAGTTGTATTCATATAGTTCCTGGCTTTGTCTTGGAAGGTAGAGCCCCAAGTATTTTATATTGGCTACAGTTATTTTAAATCGAATTTCTCGTTCTATCTCTTGCTGCTTGATTTTGTTGATAATATATAGAAATGCTGATGATTTATGTGGGTTTATTTTGCATTCTACACCTATTCTATTTTTTTAAGGAGTTATTTTCTTCTGTGAATTTTTTGTATATCTTTTTCCCTGGTATCCATTCTTTTTTTATGATTCTCTTGTATTACTCTCATTTCTTTTCCCATTTTTTCTTCTACTTCTCTATTTTGCTTTTTAAAATCCTTTTTAAGTTCTTTCAGGAGTTCTTTTTTGGTCTAAGACCAATTACATTTTTCTTTGAAGTTTCACATGTAGCCATTTTGACACTGTTGCCGTCTTCCAAGTTTGTGCCTTGATCCTGCCTGTTACCATAGTAACTTTCTATGGTCAAGTTCTTTTTTGCTCTTTTGTTCTTCCTGTTTTGTGACTTGGTATTTTTATGTTAGGCTGTCATCCTGCACTGACCCAAGCTTGTTGTACGGGGGCATGGGGCCTTGCTACTGTGTTGCTATGGAAACAGGGCCTCTCTGTTGGCTGACTCTAGGGGAGAGGTCTTGTTGCTGGCATGCCCCAGAGTCAGGGGCCTTGCTTCTGTGTTGCTGTGGAAACAGAGCCTCTCTGATGGCAGGCTTTGGGGAAGGGATCTTTCAGATGGATTTTAGGAGAATGGTCTGTCCCCAGCGGCAGGGCCTCACTACTGCTCAGTAGTGGGGGGAGACCAGCCTGGTGGCCTGTGCTGGGGTTGGGGCCACTGGAGAGTGGAACCTTGCTGTGCTACAGTGTGCATGGGGGCTGCTTGGCCTACAGCAGTGTGGGGCCTTGCTTATGGCTTGCCTCAGCCATGGAGCCTTGCTGCAGGTGCTCTGCTATGAGTCTGGATGCTACTGCAGGTGACCTTGCTCCCCTCCCACCCCAGTGAGAAGACCTTTCCTGCTGTGCCAGTAAGCTGCTTCCTGGCTGCTAAATCAGTTCTGAGGTGGTTCTTAAGTTGTTTGCAGGGACATTTAGGAGGGCTCCAAGAGGGTTCCTTCCTTATTCCATTATCTTGGCACCAGAAGTTCTATATACCTATGTTTTTAAAACACACACACACACACACACACACACACACACACACACACACACATACACACATTCATGTTGTTTGAGGTCAGGGACCATTTAATTTTTGTCTTTGTATCTCCATGGACTATCACAGTTCCTTACACAAAGTAGTTACTTAATAAATGTGCTGATTTATTTATAGCAGAAGTAGATAGCATTTCACAATAATAGAGATTCATATGCTACCAGAGGAAACTGGATTGGGAGAGGAAGTGTGTATAAAATAAATATAAGTCCTTGTGCTTATTTTTCTACTCTAACCAACTGTACTTTTGATACCTCATCTTTCTTCCATTTCTCTCCTTTTTCAATCTCTTCTTTATCTTGCCTTTCCACTCAACACTTGTTACTCCTGATAACTTCCCCATCCCACTACACCTATTAACTTTTTTTGTATCATGGACCCTAGATTTCTTATATCATGGAGGAGAAGGGAAGGATGACGGGATCTGACCTGGTCTTTAGGACAAATTACTTTGGTCACTTTGTGGAGGATGGATTGGATTGAGAGAGACTAAATAGGAGGTTATTGCAATAGTCCAGGAGCAGCAAAGGAAACTTTTGGGAGAGGTGTTATGGACATAGAAATAACAAGATTTGGCAACTGATGGTTTGAGTGAGAGTGAGGTGTTAAGTAAATCAATTAATCAGTAAACTTTTATTAAGAGCCCACTAAATGCCAGGCACAAGGTTGTGAATCTGGGTGTCTAGAAGAATGATTATGGCCACAGTGGTAATAAGAATGTTTGGGAGGCAGCCAGAACACCAGCCCTGGAGTCAGGAGGACCTGAGTTCAAATTCGGCCTCAGACACGTAACACTTACTAGCTATGTGACTTGGTAAGTCACTTAACCCCAATTGCCTTGCCAAAAAAAAAAACTTGGAAGAGCAGTACATTTGGGAAAAAAGACTCCTGCTACTCCTGTCACAAACACCTAAACCTGACTGACATGGAGGACCCAATTAAATTCAGCAAACATTTATTAAGCATCTGTTATATGCCAGGTACTTTCGTAAGTGCTGGGTATACAAATGAGAAAAAGAAAGATGGTTCTCTCTCTCAGAGAGCTTACCAGTGTAGTGGAGGAAGACAACACATAAGATTATCATTTGAGAATCAGTTTTGTCAATCAACTTTACCACCATTAAGGTGGTCCAGTAGCAGTAGTACATAGTATTCCTGCTACCCATCAAAGTCTGTGGCATACACTTCTAGAAGTACATAAAGAGTCCAGGGAAAAGTGAACTCAAACTTAAAGAGCACATGTGACAATTCCCAGATTTGTTGACAATTCTTTTCTCCCATTCATTGAATGGTCAGAAAGTCCCTATTAAGCAGTGTAAGTTTCTTTTCTGGCTTCTTGTAAAACTTTCAATCTATGTCCAGTCTACCCTTAGCTCCCAGTATAGTTCAGCTCAGGACAACTCTGGGACACTGATGGGAAAATAGGAAATCTAAAATCCTCCAGATACTTTGGGGCTCCAAAAGTCCTACTCTAGTTAAATCAGTCAATAGGAGAGGGCAGAGGGGAAACACAAGGGTGAAGTTGAGCCCTCTCCTCTCCCTACCCCACTCTCAGCTGTTCCTTTTTTTAGGAGTTTTACTTGGAATACCACCTGTGCTCCAATTTCTGGTATTCTCCCATTTCAGCCATCTCAGTACTTTTATGGAGGACCCAGAGAAAATGATGAAATACCTCAGCAACCTGGAACAGACTTTCTGTTATGACATAATAAAATAGCTGTCAAAGACTTTTCACACTTAGTCTAATGCCCATGATTGATGGAGCTTTTTAAGACATTCAGTGGGGTAAATAGTTTGAGTTTGAATAAATAAATCAACCCTATCCTTACACTGACTTGTCCTTTATATGGCTATGTTGAATAATGTATTTATTTTCTGATGCTGATCCCAGTAATCTGCTAGCTGATCCCTATTTTCAGTATTCACAAATACTGTAGTGTTATAGATACTGAATATCCTAGTATTCCGTAAGAGGTTTGATGGAAGTAGCTTATGAAGTGGGAGTAGGGGACAGAAATGAAATTCTTGTTTTCATGGTCCTTCCATTTCATTCAGGCATACTTTACTCACTGTGTTTCCATTTGAAAAAAAAAATAGCTACACATATCTACACCTGTCTTGTGGGGAATATTGCATCATTTAATGACAACAGAGGATGATCAGGTCTAAGCCATCTTTTAATAACCTTCGTGTTCTCTGATTTCAACTCATTAGTCATTGTCATCAATCTGATTCACAGTTGACTTCAATGAACTACTTCAAGATAACTTCTACATGATTGGCTTTTCTTTTTCTTTAGCTATACAAAGATATCCAGGGGTGCCCAGAATTTAGCATACTAGATGTGAAAGGGAGTGGCTTTTTAAAGGTCATTTTATGTACATATATTTATGATTATGTATTTAGAACGAGAAAGAACCTAATAGATCATCCAAAACAACTCCATCATTTTATAAATGAGGAAACTGAGGCCCAGAAAAGTTATTACTTGGGCATGGTTACATAGGATAGCCAAGATTCAAACTTAAATTCTCTGATTTCAGATTTAGTGCTCTTTCTACACTGTTTAGTTATCTTTGTTTATATTTAGAAAATAAAAACATGTCTCTAACAGGTACTTTGACAAAGAAGATGTATAAAATTGCAATTTTAACTTATTTTTGTGTTTGAGTACATTCTTAGCAGTTTTGAATATAATAAATGTGCATCAATACCTGTTACAAAGAGTAGGAATATAAAATATAGCTATTGAATTCTTTGGAAAATCAAATTATAACACATTCTAAGATAATAATACCAGAAAGTGGTAGACTATAAGCGCTTTGAGAGCAAGGGAATGTTTTGTTTTTATCTTTTTATCTTCCAACTCTAGTACAATTCACATAATATTATTAAGAACAATAATAGTTGACATTGATGATAGCACCTAAAAATTTACAAAATACCTTATGTATATTAATTCATTTGATCCTCATATCAGCCTTGTATAAGGTATCTACCACAGGTATTTTATCTATATGAGAAAAATGAGGTTGAAAGAAGTTAAGTAACTTGTACATGGTTACACAACTAGTTTCAGAAGTGGTTTTGAATTAAGTTCTTGCTTCCAAGTCAATATCCACTATGCCACACTGTTTCAGAAGAATGGAGAAAATATGAACTGTGGTGTTTTTCAATATAATTTTATAAGATCTTGTTAAAATAAAATAATTTAAATTCCTTAATACATTATAAATTCAGAATTGTTCTGGATACTGATGAAGAGAAATATGGGGGACATCAGAGAGTGGACCATAATACAGATTTCATTTCTGGGGCTTTTGAACATAATGGCTGTCCCTGTTCTCTTTTGGTAAGTATTTTTAGGGAAAAAAAATTTCTTTCTGTCTTTAGGAGGTTTTTGAATCTTTAAGGTGATGTTGATATTGGTCATAACAGTAAAAGGCTACATTTTTTACATTTAACAAATTAAAATTTTAATCCAGTTCTGGCATATTTCCTTAACATGAAGAACCTAGGATGTAAAGTATTAAATCCTGTGAATAAGTTCTATTTTATGTTGCTGTCCTTGATTTCATAATCACAAATCAGTCCTTGTGCTCTTGCTTTAAACTTATTTGGACCCTGATGTTCTGTGCAATATAAATAGGAGTTTCCTGTAAACATGTTTATGCCAGTACTATTTTTCTTTGTAGAATGTGAAATTACTTGTAAAAATGTTTATTATTTGAGCAGTTTTTAAGTGTCTGCATAGATTTTATTTCCTCTATTTTGCTCCACAATTTCCCAGAACTACCTTTTTCCATGGGGTAAGTATTTCAAATGTTCTGTGGTTTGGGAAGCACTAAAATAATTATGATAAACTTTGGAGATTTGGGAAATTTCTGCATTTGGAATAATTTGCAATTTCATTTGGAATCTAGTTCTGCAGTCAACTACATATCTCAGTATTTTCTATTCCTCTTAGCTGGGTGATGCGATTAATCTTTTTTTTTTTTAAATAAAGAAGAACACAGATGCTTAGTGGGAAAGCATCTGCTTGTCTTTATTGATTAGACTATGACAGGTCTTGGTTTATAGAGTTATTTCCCTTTCATGGTTAATAACAGTGTGGCAATCTTACAATTTATAAGAATTTAGTTTACATGACCCTTTACAATTCCTTAAATCTAATTCACATTACTGAAAGACATGGGACTAAGGATTCTTAGCAGGAATTAATTGAAAATGTGTGTGAAAACTTCACGTACATTCCTATGCTCTCCCACCTGTTCCATTTCCTAATTCACCCCAAATCACTAGTGTTGCTAGTATCTCAGAACTCCCTCAAGTTTGTTTCCTGTTATATTGCAGAGAAAGGTAATCTTGCATGGACAGTAACAATGAAAAAAATGAGATTATTAATGATGAGTGAGGTTGGATTCTGGGGAAAATATATATGCTATAGGATGTCAAGATGGCCTCAAGGTGGCAATCAAAAAAATTCATCAAAAAGCTCTGTGCTAGTAGCTGAGAATACAAAGCCAAAAATGAGATAACCCCTATTCTCAAAGAGCCTACATTCTGTCAGATCCTGGCTTGACAGAAACTGTTGGAAATTACACTCAGCTAAAAGTAAAAATAGGACATGTCCAATAAGGTAACAAAATAGTCACTTTCCTTCGACCTCTTCAATCTCAAAACCTCAAAAGAAAGGAATTATGGATCAGGTATTGTATGATTATAGCTAACTCTACAAAATAAAAGCACAGAATCCCCACACAAGGTAAAAACCACATGAATAATTAGGAATTTTAATACTTTAATCTCTCATTTAAAGTCCCTACACTTACAAACTTAGAAAGCATCCAAGTTTGGGGACTCTCTGAAATCTATCCAAATTGGAGTTCTATGGGCTTTTTCTTTTTAAATAATAAATTCTTTTCTCTTTTAGGTTTTAATCTCATGAAATCTTACAAAGTACATTAACTGTATATTAGAATTTAACAGGAAGAAAAAGCCATTTATTGACTTAAGAAATGAAAAAGTATTTGTTAAGCACTTACTATGTGTAAAATACTATGTTAAGTGCTAAGGACCCATAGAAAATTAAGAGAGCACCTTCTTTCAAAGAGCTTACATTCTTTAGCACAAATCAGATGTAAATGTTTCAAAGTCCTTAAGATTCAATAATGAAACAGATGATAATACTTCTTTAACATTAATCCGTGTCTTATGTTGAACCATCTGAGAGCTGAAGACTTTAGTGATGAGAACTTAATTTTCTGGATCTGAAAGCTATGGCTGCTGAAGAAGTGGAGGCTGCAGCTTGCAAAGGCAGCTGCCAGGCACTGTCTACACAAGTGTTGATTTCCTCGATCGTGGCTATAGTTCATTGGCTGAAAACTATGCTTATGATCTGGACAGTATTGCTTTTCCCAAGGCTCTTGAGCTCCAGATCTTGAAATGTCTTTTTGAGAATATGAGGGGAGATAGTAGTCAGAGGGTGACAGAACTGAATGAAAATTAAATTATAACGTCATTCATTCAGCGAGAATTTATTAAGTATCTACTAGTCAGTAAGACTGACCAAATTGTCATCTAAACTTAGAGACAGAGGTAGAAAGAAACTGGTCACTTCACAAGCAGAAGGAGCATCAAAGAGCGAAGAACCACTCACTTTTCCACGTGTATACATCTAGTAGTATGTGCTGTACAACCTTTTTGTCAGGTGGGAAAGAGAATTCACAGGCATTAGAAACGAGAGTTTTATATACCAACCATCCTAGCTATTATGAATAACTATTTGTATGACTCTAAAGCATATTTTCAGAAAGTATCAGGACATTCTTTGTTCCTTGTATTAACAAAAGATCTTTGTACCCAGTTAAAACAAAATAAGCAGTTAGAAGCAGTAACAATTTTCCCCATAACATTGATTTAACTCATTCAGCAAACGTGGAATGTGCTGCATCTGAATGCAGCAGCTGGAAAAGAGTATATATCACATAGGATTGTGTTACAGTAAGAGGTGTACTATATCATAGGGACAAGTAAGACAAAACCGAGCTCTCTTATTTTATTTTGTTCTCTGTGACCATGTGTTGTGTAGGGAATTGCTCATTTAAATAACTAGGCTCCAGATGGGGAAGATCACAGGTGGCAGGGTTGAAATAAGAGAGTACAAATGAACCAAGAAAATACTGAAAGTCCAAGAAAGTACAATTACTTCTTGCCAGATTTGCTCAAGGAACAGAAAAGAAGGAGCAATATGACTTTAGAAATAACTTTTCCTCTCATACACAAGGTAGCTGAATCCTGTAGTAATGAAATTCATCATTACACAGTTTTAGCTATGCTGTGGACCCGATTATAACACTTGAGCATAACAACCTCATAGGTTTTTATCAGAGTTATGCTGTCAGTAAAGTAGGGGCTGTTTCCTCCTGATGCCAAGCCTTGTAAAGGAATTATACTGTGTCCATGAAACAGTAGTGAAAAAAGACCAAATGTACCTTTCTACTTCTGTGACATTTGTGGCCATCCTAACTAGTATATATTTGCAAAGAATTTAATTTGCAAGTTCAGTAATCCATAGGATCTGCTGAATAAGTTTCAAATCTGTGCTTTCAAAGACAGCAACAAGCAACAAAGAGCTTGCAGAATTCTTAAAATAGCCTTCCATGCTGCAGCATCAGCAGGTAAAAGTTCTATTTTTTTTCACCCATTGGTCAAAAAATGTGCAGCCAAGGGACCCAGTTTATGTTGTATACTCTTACTGAGGTCATATTAGCTATGATCAGAATGTTCTATAGAAGGTTAAAAAAAAAAAAAAGTCATGCAGAACTGCTTCTTAATCTTCCTGGAAAATAAAAGTGGCAGTACTTTTTAGTACGCTCATTTTTTTGAGCTTCAGTAACAGTATTATATTGGGAACCAGTGTGCTAGGGAGAATTTACCTCTCCTACTTAATACAAACCTAGCATAAGAGCAGAATTGCAGTTTAGAAATGTAAAATCCCTGACAGAAATGGGAACATAGATAAATGTGTACAACTTTTTCCTAAGTAGATAGTTGCTTCGTTGCTTTAGTGAATAAAGTGAGTCCTGTATAATGGAAATTTGAGCGAAGTGATGGGATTATCATTAATTACTTTGCCATTTAGACTCATTGCCAGTAACCATTTGGTCAGTTAATTATCCTTATTTTATATTTGGGGGCTCTCAAGTGGACTGTAGTACAATTATCTTTTTGATAAGTTGCTTGGCATAGTTGTTTAATTTTTGTAACTTAGTGTTAAAGTTCTGTGTGTTTTAAAAAAACACCAAAATCTAACATTGGAAAATAATTTTTTTAACATCCTTTAAAAAAAAAAGAATAATCAAATTCTTTAAAATTTAGTGAGATTGTTTCATGTTTCTGTCCTCTTTAGTATTCTAAATTAGATGAAAGAATATACATATATAGGAGACAAAATTAGAAGAAGTAAAAATTAGAAGAGTTCAAATAATAATATTAGTATAAGAAAAGTACAACTCATTGAAAATCCTAATTTCTTTTTTTCAAAATATTAGCAAAATAAAATTTTGGAGAAATGTATATAGAGTTTCATTAAATTTAATATACTAAAAACCAGGTTATGATTTTTAGCTTTCTTGAATGGCTCATTTTCAACTTTGACAGTTACCCCTGGTATTTTTTAAAAGGTTTTCAAATTTTGATAACTTTTTAAAATGTATGACTTTAATTGAAATTTAGGTAGCAATTTTTATATAACAATTTTAAATATGCATTTTTCCCGAGTCCTAATGATTCCTGATATTCAAATCAACTATATTTCCAATTGCCCCTTTCCAAGGACATGTGATATTAGGAGCTCTATATCACAAAAATTTTAGGAGAAAATATGTGTAAATATGTTGTGTAAATATGCCACAATGTCATTGAGTGAAAATCAATTGTTCTCCTTTTTTTAAAAAAACTTGTATTAATGGGCTTTTTCTTTTTTTACAGTGCTTTTTCTGAACTTAAAAGAACAGCAAATAAAATTAGCATTTCCATATACATAGCAGAAAAGAAAAAAAAGATTGTACGTTAAACTGCATATCTCTATTATGTACACCTTGAAATTCTTTTAAAGTTTATAATAAGTTCAACTGTCCTGCTTGTCAGTACTGCTTTCTGACCTTGCTACTGTTCTTTTATCTTTATTTTTAAAAGAAGGATGTCTCAATGGCTCTTTTTTCATTCTTCTAATTTTGTTGCTGATAATTCATCCCTATCTGCCTCATCCTGCCACCCACTCTACCACCTCTGGAAAAAGTAAGAGCACAGCTCTTGTAACAAGTATGTCTAGTCAAACAAAACAAATTTCCTTATTGCCTATGTCCAAAAATGTATGTACACCCTTTTCTTCATCTTAAGTCTGTCCGGAGTGGGTAGCATTCTTCATCATCAGTTCTTTGGAATCAGTCGGGTCATTTTAGCTGCTGTCTTATTTTCTTTTTTTTCCCCCCACTAAATCTGTATTTGCTTTTTATTTTACATTCTAGTTCCAGATTATGAAAGACTTTTATGCCACCAGTCAAGCTTTCACATGCTGAAATTAGGAGAATATTAAGAAAACCAAAAATTTAGGACAAAACAAGGGTTTAAATGTAAATATTTGTCATAGTGAAGTTAGCATTCTGCTAGTTCTTTCTTGGCTTTACTGTTTGTATTTTAAATAAACATATTTTTACATACTAAGTTATGGAGAGTGCATTGATTGGATTGAGTTTCCCTCAGTAAGAAAGACCTAGGCTTATATCTTGCCTCTTGAGCCATACTTTCTATTATGATTCTAGGCAGGACTTAGCCCTCAGTGCCCCCAGGCAATTCTCTAAGAGTCTTTAAATTGCTGAAGTGTTGCTAATCTGCATTGATAGGCTGTTAAGAGTGCCAATGAAATGACTGGTCCAGCCAAAAAAATAATACCACTAATAAAAGAATTAAGTAGCATAAAAGTCCATTAAGCAGTTTTTATCACTTGCTAGCTAGGTGGCTCAGTGGATTAAACACTGGACCTTGAGTCAGAAACACCTGAGTTCAGATGCAGCTTCAGACACTTACTAGCTATGTGACCCTAGGCAAGTCACTTTATCCTATTTGCCTCAGTTTCCCCATCAGTAAAATGAACTTGAGAAGGAAATAACAAAGCACTCCAGTATCTTTGCCAAGAAAACCCGACATGGGGTCATAAAGGATTGGACTCGACAGAAAAACAACAAAATCACTTGTTCGGCTACATAAATGTCATTTTAGCAGAAAATGATAGGGAATTTCATATGAAATGCTGGCATGTTGATTAGAATTTTCTATCTTTATAAGGCAAATCCCATGAAATAGATGTTTGTGACTAATTAGAAAAATGGTTTAAGGCATACCACCTGGAGTTAAAGGTGTGTGCCTCTTAGGATTCCTTTGATTGCATTCATTAAACTCTTACTCTTCAAAGGGAAAAAAAAAGTGAATATCAAACCTTTTTATAAGTAAAGCTCTCTAGGTGCAAAAGTAGTTGCAAAACATTGCTTTGTCACATTACTTCTATTTACTGGAACAAAATGATGACATAGGCCTTAGGCAAGCGTTAATTCACAATATAGTAATAATACAATTGTGTTTAAACATAACAAGAGTTCATTGTTTATCACTCTTCTGTCAACACGCTTATGAGTTCTCAGGAGTCTGAACCTTGACAATTATAAATCATACAGAGCCCTCTAGTGGTAATTGTTTTAAAATGCTCTCATTAACATCAGGACAAAGACTGGAAAAGTACTGTACATAGTTTAGATTACTCTGATTCTGAGATTTTAAATATGATTCATAAGGATTAATTGCCTTAGGAAAACAGAAACTTGAGTCATGCCATCAAACTTATTTCTTGAAGTCTGTGGTGTAAAACCCTCGTGTTTAATGGTTTTCATGAAATGTACTGACAAGATTATAATGCCTTTTTTTCTTACTTCTTTAAAAAATTAGGTATACATTCCAAGCAGAGTGGGCCTTGTGCTTCAAAATACGGATATGCCAAACTGAAGAAGACAGAATTTGCCTGCAGTAGATTCAGATCTTTGTTTTATGTTCCTGTATTTAGCATCAGAGAGCTTTTATTTTGTAGGCTTTAAAAAAAGTGTGGCAAAAAAAATATTGGGAATTGAATATTGGTATGTACACATGAATATAAAATTTTCTTTTAAAAGGCCTTTTCCAGGGCCATATAAATTACAAATGTAGAGAAAAATTTAACTTTGCATTTCTGGTGTTCCTGTACTATATTTTCAAACCTCTAAGTGGCTAGTATTCTCAAGTTATATTTTACATTTTATAAAAAGAAAATGTACTTTCATCCTTTTTTATTTGAGATTTGATTTATTCATTACATGCTATTATCTTTTCTTAATGTAATGAGTATGCAGAATTTTTAAAAAATTGAACAAATAGTCTTAAGTTTCTTTGATATTTGGCAAAGAATGCAGTGACTGAAAAGGTATCATGGTTGTTATGCTGGTGAATTTATAATAATGTTAAGGATTTTTTTTAAAAGATAGCATAATAGACTTTATTTGTAAAGGCGGTTATGTATGATTTTAGCATAACATTTTTTTTATTTACTGTCATTCACATAGCATTCTCAAATCCTCTTTTCTCTCAGTTTTCCCAAGCCTCATTATAATAATCGTAACATTTCAGAAAATCCAAATAATTTCAATCAGATTTGTCTTAATCTATTATTACAGGGAATTAATTTATAACATATTTTAACATACTTGATATCAAAATATGTTCATTTGCAGAGAGTAATCACATAATTTATATGTAACTGTACCTTGCATTTATAGCACAAGCTACTAACAAATAGAATTTTGTTAAATGGCTCTTGTGCTCAAGATATTTTTACTGTTATAAAATCAATGATCTTTTTAAAAGATGCTTAATTCATACCTAGGTTAAAAAAAAAAGATTGTTGCTTCTTCAATACTTCAGAATTGGAATTCAAAATTCAGTACTTCAAAAATGGGCTGCAGTGTGACCTACGATGCAAATTTTAACCCCTCTATGCCATGGTCAGTGTGTCCATGGTTTTCTTAAATATCACCAATTTTTTGCATACCTTTTAAGGTACATTTTAACCACACATTAACCTTGTTTGTTTTTGTTTTTTGTTTTGTCCTGAATCACTTGTAATTTACAGCAGCTATATTGTAATTCTCATTTTTAGTGGAAAACACATACAGTACAGTTTGTTCTCTACTAACAAACTTTTGCATTAACTATCTTCCATATAATAAGCTTTCTTTTGTAAAATGTGGAATGACTGTGTATGAAAATACAAGGTTTATTTTGGATTTCTAATTTTTTTAACCCTAACGAGGATAATCATTTGAATATATTTGAAGGATTAAATGGTACTGGGTGATAATTTTGCTGTTGGGAAACATGAGATGGAAAGTCTTTTCTGATGCATTTCCCATTAAAAGGCTTTATGAATATACTAGCACTGTCATAATCTGCAGATTATAACTATTAAAGATGAAGACACAGCAACCATCACTTTGTTAAGTATTCCAATTTGCATTACCCTTAACTTAGTTTTCATTATGCACAAAAGTGTTACCAGGCCATTTCCATGTCATGGTAGCATGTTTTAAGATGGAATATAGAATTGTTATTTGGAATTGTTATTTTGAAAATTATGACCAGGTCAAAATCACCAGTGTAATTATGTGCTATATTTTAATTATATTGATTGATTTTGTGAACATATTCTTTAGATTTCACTGGTTTACATTTTAAGGTTCCACAAAATAATGTAAGGTAATTGCCCTTGTCAAGTTTTTGTGATAGAGGAACAATAAATGTATGCTGCTAAGTAAGAACAATAAAAATATATGCAAATAAACAAAATATTAAGGGTTTAAAATAAGAATGTTGTGATTATTTATCTGTCTCTACTAAAAATCTTTGCAACACATTTTAACGTTCCATGTCCAAACGCTTTTTTTCTGGATGCTTTTGTGCATCTGAAAGCATCTTGTAAAAAATCCTCATTCCTTTTAGTTGCTAAACATTTCCAGTAAGCACAAGAGATAATGGCATATTCTTACTCTTTCAGCCTTTAATAATGCTTTTCTTTTGCTTATTTTGTTAGTAATAAGTAGCCATGGTGTCATTGTCAAAAATGATGTCTTAGTGTGATTCTTTTCCAATATGGGTTTTCAAAACAGGATTGTTTCTGTTTTATGTTCTTATAAAAAGATGAATGGTCCAAAAGGTAATACATTGACCTTTATGTTTTCATGAAGAAAAAGAATGTTGATCAGCAGGTGAATGCTAATTATAGATTACCATCTCCAAAAAATAACATTCAAAAATGAATGAAATATGCTTGATCTTCTATACCTGTTTAGAAAAACAAGGTGCTGGCCCAATTCAGAAAATCTGGTGGTTTATAATAATCATTATTACAACATTTAATTAAATGTAAATGTTTTCCCTAAGAATGTCTCCTTCTTTTGATGCTTAAAAGATTTTGGCAGTCCACATTTCCATTTTTCTCAAGTCCTACAAATTTTAGATATTTTTGTTTATATTTGCCCCTACTGTTTTTCAGTATTATTAATGTATCTATCTTTAACCTAGCATAAATTATATAACCTCTTCTCAAACCCTTAAAAAGAACTATTTACCCATAATCAACTCAGCTTTCAGTAAGAGTAAAGAAACATTTGTTCATATGGGTGTTTTTCTGATTCCATCAGACCCCTTTAGCAATGACAGGGCAACATGTCACACATTAGGAGTTTACCTAGTGTTATATGATGCTGTAGATAAGGCAGCTTCTGACTAGGGCATCTGTTCTTCAAACAATACAGAGGAGAGTGTAGGCAGATAGATCTGGTAGGAAGCAATGAGATATATGTTTTCTTTAGTTCAATTTTCAGCTTTAGTGCAAAGCTCCTTTTCTCTGTATCTACGCCTAGTGTCTTCAAAAGTGGTGATAAAGCAATCTGAAATGGTTTTCTTATTGTCTTCACTACATGAAGCAACTCATAGCATATGACATTAAATAGAAACTGAAACAGTGAATGAGCTTTCCAGCTGAGCAATAGCTAGTAGGGTCATGGTCACCTATGCTGGTCTGGTTTTTCCTAAGGTCTCACTCCATGGAGGTTAGGTCATATTTTTGTTTTCTTAAAATGTATTGAAACTATTCTCACTCTTTATAGCCCTAGGGTAATAATGGTCTAAGTACAAAAACTGGTATAGAAGTAGTACCAAGCTCTTCCCTTGATAGAGTGTACTACCAAGATGAATGCAGAGACAGGAAAGCTGCCAACAGAATCAACGCTATATCCTTGCTGAACAATCCTTCCCATGCCATACCCAAGTAAATATCATTTTGTTAACTGTTAGAGATCATCTTAGTGTCTCATTTTGTTCTAGTCCTGTAGCTGAACCAGCAGAATGTCCTGACTTGGCTCTGGCCTGTAATACCAGGCAACCCCAAGCTATGTTTCCTTTAGCTTTTCTTTAATATACTACATAGGTATATTTGTTAAAGTAGTGGATTTCATGAAAACAACTGTTATAGAGTTATAAAATGACAAATCATTGAACAACAGTAAGGAAAATATTTTCATCAATAGGAAGAAGAATGCAATGTCATATTCTTCATGATGTGATTAATTCATTATTCCCAATGTTACAGAATTACAATACATTTAAATAGTTCTAACTGAAACCTGCCTTTGAGAAAAAATAAATTGTATGAACTCTTTACTTAATGTTTCTTCTTTGTTGTCTTATTAATGGAGATTTATAGCCAAGTGCTATAAAAACAGATTCATACTTCAGGAGAGAATTCATTAATTGGGGGCATAATAGGACTTAAGAATATGTAGTAGTTAATACAATTTATGTATCTCAAGAGTATAATATTACTCTATAAGGCTTTTAATATTTAGGAAAAGCTACGAAGACAGAGGAATGCTTTTCTTAGGAAAATGATATTTTTCTGATTATGGTAATCCTGAAGAATGCATTTGAATGTTTTAGTTGTGACTTTCAATACTTTTTCTCATCAGGTATGTTAGTTGGGTTTTGTGGATAGCTATGTTCCTTACAGTCATTCACTAGAACTCTTTCACAGTAAAATCTTATTTTTATATAGTGATTATCTTGAAAAGCATGCTTTTCCAGAAGGTGAATTTGGTCATATTTTTGAAATAATAATAGCCAGAATTTTTATAGCACTTTAAGTTTTGTGAAACACTTCACAAATATCTTGTTATCCTCACAACTGTTGTAGCCTCTACAAGATGCTATTATTATCCTCTTTTTACAAATGAGAAAATTGAGGCAGATGGGTGAAATGACTTGCCCAGAATCACATAGCTAATAATTGTCTGAGGTCAGATTTGAGCTTATACCTTCCTGATTCCAGATTCAGCACTCTATCCACTGTATCACCTAGCTGGCTTAACCTTTTCTCACATTGTCTTTTTAGGAAGACAAAGTTAGTACCACTGTTCACATTTGGGACCTGGGAATAGTAACTTGAAGAAGAAACAAAATAAAAACATTACTATAAAACCAGGAGCTCTTCCTGTCTATATTTGGGGGAGCTAAGATTTGTTTTATTTTTTTCAGTTACCAAGCGTTTTTCCCACCTCCCCTTGACACCCTAGAAGAAAAAGACAAACAAATCTTGTAAAGATAAGCATAGTCAAACAAAACAAATTCCTACATTGTCCATGTCCAAAAACGTGGCTGTCACTCGGCTTATTAGTTATCACCTCTTTGTCAGCAGAAGGATAGCATTCTTTCTCATGGGTTCTCTTTAACCATGATTGAGCAGAGTTCTTAAGTCTTTTAAAATTGTTTGTTTTTACAATGCTGCTTAACTGTGTCAGTTCATACAAGTTTTCCCAAATTTCTCTGACACCATCTCTTTCTTCATTTCTTATAGTACAATAATATCTCATTGTATTCATATTCCCCAAATCAATGGACACCCCCTTGCTTTCTAGTTCTTTGCCACCACAAAAAGAGCTTCTACAAACATTTTTGTATATATGGTACATTTTCCTCTTTCTTTGATCTCTTTGGGGCAATATACTCAATAGTGGTATGCAGTTTGTTAACTTTGGGAGAATAATTCCAAAGCCCCTCCAACATTTGCCATTTTTCTTTTTTTGTTTATTTTGTCAAACTTATGGGTGAGTTGGAACCATAATTACTTTAATTTGCATTTTTCTAATTAATGTTTTTGGAGCATTTTTTCATAGGACTATAGGCAATTTAGTCTCTTGAGAACTGCCTATTCCTATCTTTTGACCATTTATTAATTGGGGAGTGAAATTTCATATATTTGAATCGGTTCCTTGTAAACCTTGGAAATGAGACCTTTATCAGAGAAACTTGCTACAGATTTTTTTTCCCCATTCACTCTTTCCCTTCTAATCTCATCCATATTGAATTTGCTTGTATAAACGCTTTTTAATTTTATGTATTTCCCATGTTCCATTATCTTGTACATTTTTTTCTATTTTCTCCCACTTTTTTTTTTTAACAAAGAAGAGAAGTAAAATGTTACAGGAGTGTCCTCTGCTCCATCCTTGGTGGAAACAGCTTCCACTCACTTCCCCCTCTTCTCTACCCATTATTCAAACCAAAATTAGAGGTTTATATCCTTATGAAGTCTTCTTCACAATCCTTCCTAGGAACATAAGCTTAGTGTTTTTTCTGTTTGTTTGTTTTTTATATCTAATCCTTTCTTAGATCTACCCTCCTTATTTCACCCTTTCCCTTCTCTCTGATTCTGTTTCTATGTTGATATGTTTCTCCACCAAACTCTTACTGTGTCTCAGTGTTTGGTCTGTGTGTTTTGCTCTCCTTTTACAAGTTCAGAGTAAAGTATTCAGTAGATGTCCAATTCCTTCAGGCCTTCCTGGTTTATATAGACTTCGACTTTTGCCTCCTGATTATGAGATTTAAGTCCCACCATTTCTCTTTTTTTACTGCCCTAAAGTATCCATTTCTCCCCTCTCCTTTCTTAAGACCATTGAAACAAACAAATTAAAAAAAAAATCACCTGCAGGCCTTTTTATTTGACTTCCTGTAGGACCCCGAAGATGGTTTTTAAGGGGTACTTGTATTATTCCTCCTTCTGTTCGATATCCTATTTAGAAAGCTATATTTGGCTTAGGACTTTGCATTAGTAGAAAATATTGAGAATTTGCCACTATCATTGAGGAAAACAAAGTGGTGATCTCCTTTAAAACAACCTGCCCTCCATTTTGTGCAAGGTGTTCCATTAATAAACTATCATCTGAAATTAACCATACATATAGAAACATATATCTGTGCATCTATCATGTATGTATGTAGTCTCAATTTCTTCATCTCCTAATAAAAATTCCCAGGAATATCATAGACAAAATCCAGTTTCCAGGTCAAATAAAAAAAAAAAAAACTATTATCTTCTTGATATTTATTCTCTTAAATATACCTTGCTGCATTTTTGCCACTCCACGCTCAAGATATCCAGACCTTTCTGTCTTCTCTGCTTCTCTGCTTCACTGAGCGTGCTCTGAAGGTCTTAAAACTCTCAGTTCTGGAAATCCCTCAGGAGCACATGGTGTCCTGAGTAATGAGTGTGCTATATGCCCCACTATGCCTAGCCAACCCCAGCTATGCCTGACGTTGAGATGTGATGGGCTATTCCCAACTATCGTATTGCTATTCTCCCTGCCATTTCCCACATAAAACCAATATTGCCTTTGCTACTAGAGAGATTAGGTTGGATTCATTAACTCTTCTATATTTCTATTCTCTATGTCTTTGACTATTCAGACCGAAAAATCTCTTCTGTTCATCAGTATCCCATTGAAATGAAAACTTCTTA